GCCATTTCTTCCAGGGATAAGGTTACTAGTCAGCAGCTAGCAAGTGTCAAGGGTCTGGGAGGTGGGGATACAGGGTGTGTGCGCCTTTGGGTGTGTGCACATTATGTCACTTCCACAGCAAACACAGAAGTGACGCCACACTTCTCTAGGAATCGCTGGAAACTCTATGATTTTACTAGTGACCAGTGGAAAGGGGTAATTGCCATTGGGGTGGTGATGTTATGTCTATGGCTGTATCACTGAGTTTCTGGCAATTCCTAGAAAAATGTGACATCACTACTTTGTATTCTCCAGAAGTGATATAACACTGTTGCCCAATGACTATAGTAGAATTGAGTTGTCCCAGACAGATTTCTCACCTTGTCCAGTATCTGGGCATAAGAGCATTAAAACCTGTGATGAATGTATGCCTTTAGCCACAAGCAGAACCTGTTACATTAGTATTTTCCAAAGAAATTTTTTGCCACCTGAGACTTACTGTCCCAGTAATCCATTTAAACCATTTGCATTCCCTTCCAAAGCTCCATATTACAGGCCAGGCCAAAACTGCCTTCAAGTACAACATACCCTGACTGCACCTGGAAAGCTCATGTCCTTTAGAAGGACCGTGAACCAGTTATGTTCCTAGGACCGTGAACCAACCCCTCTTCTCCATTGTACAGTCAGGTTACGTAAAACTGTCATATAATAAACTCCATTTTCATTTGAGCCAGCTCTCAGTGTTCCATTCAAGGTTATAGAGGCATCTTGTCATTTAGTCAAAAATCCCTTACTGCCATTGTATGTCACTGCCTGAATTCCAAGGTGACTCTAAATCAGGTATAAAACCTAAGCAAGCAGTCCCTTTAGTTCGAAGGGGAAAGTATTGGGAGGAGAGTTTACTCCATGCACTCAAGCTATTTCAGTATGGAATTGGGCTCAGAAAGAGGGCCACATTCACATGGGCACATGTCAAGGGTATATTTGTCTTTTGAACACACGGGAGCTGAGGGAGAACACTAGCAAAAGAGCTCCCCATAGGTAGACTGGTATTTCTACCTGTGGCACTTGGCTCCTCTGTAAAGTGTACTCACTGTAGAGGTGGGTAAATGGTCTGCTCTAACGCCAGAGAGACGCAGCAGGCAGGATGTCTTCAAAACCTTCTTTAATGTGCAGAACTACAAAGCAGGGAACAACATAGACTTAACAAGGTTAGTCAGAACTACCAGAAACTCAGTTCTAACTAGGATATGCCAGAAGACACATCCATTCATGTAAAGATAAGGAGTCCCACTTAGGACCTAAGCCTGTCTCTTAAAGAGACAGTTTCCACATACTACACTACCCTCCAATTGGAATGATCCAATGAAACAAAATTTTCCCATGATCAAGTGGATGCAGCTGGTACTTTTTTGCAGTGGACCTAACATCGATTACATCCTAAGCATGTAACTACAAATGTAGGAATTTGAAGAGTCTAGTCATGTTGACCACTACTAATACT